ACGCGAAAAAGTCGTCGTCATGTGTCTCGAAGCGCATCTCACACTGGCAAGTTTTTGCAAAAAGGTCAAATAGCCAAAGGACCCTCAGGACCCTCCCTTTGCATCTTTCTTTCAAGGGTCTCAACGTCCGCGTCAAATGTTCTGCTACGTCGCCTTGGCCACGAGCCCACGAGACCACGTCGCCAGCCCCGAGGGACAGCCTGCGAGACAGGTTTAAGCTATGTTACTCCTTTACCGCTGTGGCGAGTGTTGCTCTTGTGGTTGGTGTGGTGGTGGTGGCAGCTTTGCTCTGCGCTGGCAATCCAGGTCATCCCTCAGACTGCCATCGAAAAGGAAAGGGGGGGGGGGGTTACCACCCGCCCGTCGGCGGCCGCAAGACACACAATTCAGCCCGTTCTGCCTTGAATTGAGCGGCGCGCCGGCGGGAAAAAAGGGCTGGAGGGCTGCCCGGCCCCCGGGTGTTGCTGATGAGCAACGAACAAGCCCCGACGCAAAGGGGCGCGCGGAATGCTCTTCATCATCAGTGGGGGGGGGGAGATGTCGTGGCATCGTTGAAATTTGTCTTACACCCAACGCATGGGGCCTGCGTTCCTAAAATCACGATGACGGAAACGGTCGCTTACTGGTATTAGCCCCCCCTGCTCAAATGTTTTTTTTTTCTTCTTTGCACGGCTTCTTTTGGTACACACGGCACATCGTGAAGATCCACCTGCCAACTCAGGGTCCTTGTCTTGGTACCAAGTCGCGTGAGATTCAAGAATCAAAGGCCAGCCCAGCCCAGCCCGCCCCCTTCCTTTCTCACAAAGATGCGTGGATGCGTGTTGTTGTGGAGTAGGGGACAGCATGAAAACCTGCCATTCCACGCCGCGACGTTGGAGACATGCATGGGGTTGTTGTCTTTTTGCTTATTCCTCTTCTTGACTGAAGGGATATCAAAGAGCGGATACAATACCAGCGGCGCCGGAGACCCAGTTTGTACGCTATGTACACCGAAATCAAGGCCGGCTGGACCGCCCCCAAAAAAGGAAAAAAAAGGGCAGGCCAGAAGCTTCCCTGGAGCTTCTATTGTTAGTACCACAGACCTTCTTTTTTACTCTTCCTTCTCGCCCTTGAAAGAAGGGTCTTTTTTTTTTTTGGTTCTTAAAGTCCACTCTTTTACTGCCCCTTTTTCTGGAGTTTTCCTTGTTCAACGTGAGCGCCCGGGATTCGGACACGATCCGTAATCCCTTTGCCATTTTGGAGAAGAAACAAGCACAACAAAAACGTGTTGTTGTTTACTTTTTGCCAATTCTTAATAGCTTACGGGTTTATTGACTAATAACGGATCCTGCTTTGTGACACCTGGGCGCGCGCCTGCAAGAGCGGCCGCAACAGGCAGCCAGCCAACCAGCTTTCAAGGAGCCCTCGAACAAGGATTTCTCGCTTGCCAGAAACAAAACATAAGCCCTTCATTGATACGGGCGTTGTTGGGAAAGGGAAGAACCCAGACCGCATCGACCGCCAAGGCATGTTGTGACGTCTTGCGCCGAGAACAGGACCCTTGAGCAACAGCCGGCCCCCCCCCCCCCCCCCCTCCCTCCCTCCCCTATGACGCTCCATTTCCAATCAAGATCTTGATAATTGGTCCACCGAAAAAGAGCACGTTGGTATTTGGCAAAGCGGCAGTTTATGCGCATCATACTGACCCAGGGCCACGGGCCTGACGCAAAGACGTCACGGCTGTTTCATCTTCGTCCCTTGTTCCACGGCACTTTTTTTTCTTGCTCCTCTCTTGTATTAGCACTTTATCTTCCTTAATAGTTGCTCTTATTATTTGTTTTTTTTTTTTTTTTTTTTTTTTTTTTTGCCGTGTGATCAAATTGCATCATTGCATCTGCCGGCGGTCAAGCCCCCCATACATATCCATGAGCACTTCTTCTTTTTTGTCGGCACATGCGTAATCGATGGTCCCCAGCCACTAATGATATGCAGGACGGGATATCGCAATTCGACAAGAGTCAAGCACGTCAAGGTAAAAAAAAGTAATTAGAATGTTCTTGAACGCACAGGCGCCCTTCCGCCCGACGGTGTCGAGGCAAGCTGCGCCCCCTGTCTTGCTAGTAAAACATTTATCCATCATCAATTAGCATCTTTTCTCGCCTCGCGATGCGCCACACCCCAGCTCAGCCCAGCCCAGCCCAGCCTTCATCCAAACGTGCCAGCCTCGAAATGCCGCCTTTTTCTTTTTCTGTTGCTTTTTTTCTTTTTTTTTTCTTTTTTGTCTTTTTTGGCCCTTGCTATTCCCAGCCATTTCATCCGAAACTTGCCTTACCCGCTGCCTCTTGGTCACACAACAGCCGACACAGCCCCCCCCCCCCTGCTATTTCCAGATCAAGCAACTGATGAGCTTTCGTGTACTTTACTACGTATGTCCAAGCCACGATGGCGTCCGAGCAGTTTCTTGTCCCTCGCGCTGGCGAGCCCGCGAATTGAGTTACAACTTACAACCGATACTGGTATCACTGCAATGCCAACCACGCAGCCGGGAAGCTTAATTATTATTTCGCTTTCGCTATTACGACCTTGCAGCTGAACCAAGGCGGGCCAACATCTCGCTAGCTTTCCGGCGCGCGATAAAATATGTAAACTAATAATATGAACAATAATAATAATCATAATAATAATAACCAATATTGGGTAAAATATGAGGCTGTCCACGAGCCCAAGATTACGCCTCCCCCCCCCCGTTTCCTAAACCCCCGCCAAGCAGTTTCAACTAAGGTAGGTGTGTGCTCCATGACATCAATGCGAACATGCCATCCACTACCACTCAATCCACCCTTGCAGCTTATGCGCATCGAAACCCAGAAATGCGAGTTTAGAAAGAGAAAAAAAAAGGAGAGGATGGATTCCTGGGGAATAGAACTAGTGTGTGATTTTAGCGTTTCAATAGTGCCGGCAATCTCAACACTAGGTACAACAAGTTACCAGTAGCCTGTAGGTGTTCATGCTGGGATCAAACTGACCATCTCGCATGACGCCTCCAACTAGTTACGTTGACTACTTGCATATTGCCTTTTTTTTTTCTCCTGTTCCAGAGTTTTAGATTTTTGCTTTTTTCTTTTCCTGTCAAATTTTTGGTTCAGTATGAAACCTTGGTCTAAACAATCGTACCACGCGATAGCAAGCCATAGTTCTAATTCGGGTGGGATTTGTTTTTTATTTTATTTTATTTTTCCCTCCTTTTTTTTCCAGCAACGTGTTTACATGCCTCGGCAATGATTATGACATTTGTACACGCTACAAATGCGGCTGAAATGAAAGCAAAAAAGACACATGGCAAACCCTTTTTGGGTCCCGTCGCCCTTGCATGGTAATCCCCGATGGGCAAGCGCATCGACGATATCATCAAAAAGTTCAACACGCGTGACGAGAGGTCTGTTCACCCGCCGCCCCTCACAGGGCAGGACCATGCTTGTCATTACTCACGATTTTTTCCGGGGGAGACCCTGTGTACATCCTCAACATTGAGCACAAGGGCACTGATGAAAGAGCATTGTGCCAGCTCACCGACTCAATCTTTTCTTCATGAGCACCAGCCCTTTTGCATTGAATGCACGTCCGCTGCACATATAGTGGCTCAGCATTGCGGTACGACCATTGGCAAGCCGTGCTTGCTGGCCATGGATAGTTCAGATTTGGAAACCCAGATGTGGGCTTGCATTGTCCAAAGTAGCTAACCGAATATAAAAAAAAAAAAAGGCCACGGCTGCACCCGCCATTGGCCCCGTAGCACGACCGTGAGCTTCCTCATGGGTGGTTGGAGCGTGGCGCCGGCGTTTGGCCTCGAATGTGATGAATGATGATGCTTTGACGTTCTCTGAGTCAATTTTACCACCAAACGTCAGGGCGCAACACGGCGTGCTTCCCGCGAGTTGTGATTGATCGTGAAAGCCGGTTGACGGGGCATTAACCGGTTCATGAGGCATTGTTTGCAATGTGGCTTTTTCCATCGCAAGGCTTTCAACCTATTCGCCATGTTACTCGTCATATTGTTGAGAAACGGAGTGCTTTTCCTTCGAAGCGGAGCCGCCTCGTCAAGGTAAGACGTCCCGTGTAACCAACAAACTATTCAGCACTGCCTGCATTTTACCTTCGACGAAAAAAAATTAATGCCATAATGCTTTGATTCTTGAATATATTGTCACATGTGACGTGTCTTGTGCATGTGAGAGGAGAGGCTATTTTGATTCTCAAAGGCGATATGATTCGTAAGCTGTGACTCTTGCGACACAATGCTTTCAGCCTCAGTATACGAATTCACTTGTACTACTTGTCCCAACGCGAAACAGCCAAATCCGTTCATTTAAGCGCATGATTTTGTTTCGTTTCAAATGACGACGTCAGCATTTGCCACTATTGATTTTTCTCTAGAATGTCTCGCCCAGAAACCACCGTAAACGTCTTTTTAAAATTCGCAGCAACATGTTCAGGGTAGCCCCCTCAAGTTGCACATGCAGTACGCAACGCTGCAAGGTATGTATCACGACTACCAGCTCTTCTCGTCGCACCTTGTCAAATATTTCCCGCCAAAACATGAGACGTGTCCCTCTCGTCCCTCTTCCAGATCACCGAGTACAAGAAGCATGGCAGCCTTTCATCACATGATTGTCCGTTGCCATTGCACAGGACTTGGCCGTTGACAGGCACCCTCTCACGACACAACGCGGCTTTCTCGCGTGCATCAGTGGTACGAGAACCTGCAAGGTGTCGTCACCGTAGACCTAGGAGTCGGTACGTGGCCACAACAGCTAATTGTGCCTACGCTGTGCAAAGTCACACCGGAAGCCTTTTGTCTCTTTAACGACAAATGCGAATAACTGGACATCGTCATGTGCATGTAATGAACGCGCGTTCAATCAGCGTTATCGCTTCGCCGCTTATCGAAAATTGTACAGCAAGTTTCATCGCACACATCTGCTACGTACGGCGAATTCCCAAGCCGTACCCAATTCTCTTTCTCATCGCTTGGTCGACGACGCTCTTGACGTGAAGAAGGGATGCTTCAATGCCTCGGTGGGCTTGATCCGCTTGTCCGGGTTCAACGCCAGACACTGCTCCAGCAAGTCGACAAAGTGATTAAGATCCTTCATCTCCGCATCATTCATCCCCGTGGATGCAGCCATCAGGCGAGTGCGGAGGTCCCGCGCTGGCTTGACCACGGGCAGGGTTCGGACGGCAGTCTAGAATGGGACAGCACATGTCAGCAAAACATCACTCGTCATATTTTTGATTGCAAGAGAGCACAGCAGATCCGTTTCGCAGCCCAGCCTCGATGATACCACTCCAGCGCCAGTTTAGACGTACAGAAACAGCCTCGCCTTTCACACTGGTGACCAGACGTATCCACTGTTTCGGATCCCTCGCTGCCCTGGTCTGCAGTTCTCATGCACGCACATGGCCAAGGCGACGATGCGGCCACCTGCAACCGTAGCCGCCGCGATGCGATTTCACATTCACCCCAGATTGACTGGCTGAGGGATAGCCTTGCCAGCTGGTGGATGCGAGGCGTCCAATGCAGGGGCAGTCACCTCGGCGCTTAGAGGGTCGAGCTATTCTCATCACCACGCCCGGAGCTAATGCAGGTCACAGTTCAAAAATAGCAATCCGGCATATTGCTCAGAAACATGGCCATGTGGTGGTTGCAAAAAAAGGGAGAAAAGCAACATGACCATGCGCTGATTGTGAAAAAAAGGGAAAAGAGAAACATGGCCATGTGCTGCCAGGAAACAAGGGAACAGAGAAACATGGCCATGTGGTGGTCGCGAAAACAAGGGAAAAAGAGCAACATGGCCATGTGGTGGTTGCGAAACAAGGGAGAAGAGACAGAAATAAGTCACCAAAATAGAAGCAAAACAACGTACCTTGTTGAGAATCTTGTCGTGCTCTACGCTGACAAACTGGCCCAGGTCGTCGAAATGGCTGGCCGAGAGCTGACCACGCTTGTACAGCTTGGGTGTGAGCCGCCCGCGAATTTCCATAATGGCCTTGAGCATCTGGTTATTGCTGTCGCCGGTAAAGAGAATTTTGCCCGTGTACAGCTCGTAGAGGGTACAGCCGATAGACCACATATCCACGCCGTAATCATACGACATGCCCAAAATGATTTCCGGCGCACGGTAAAATCGACTGACGAGATATGGAGTGATTTCGGTGTGGGCAGTAGCCGCATCTGATCGATCAATGGCTGTCCCCAAGTCGCAGATTTTTAGCACGCTGCGATTTTCATTCACCTGCGTTTCAGTTAGTCATCTCTTCTGTCTTGGGCAACATTTCGAAACACTTACCAGAATGTTGTCGGGTTTCAAGTCAGCATGAATGATGCTACATTTGCGCATGTGAGCTAATGCGACAAGTATTTGGTATGCATATGTCCGCGTCGCGCCAAGGTTGATGCCGACATTGTTGCCAAACTTTCGCAACACCTCACGCAAATTCATGCTCAGGCTTTCAAAAACCATGCACAGGTGACCGCGGTAATCAAACGACACCTCAAACTTGACAATGTGCTTGCGATTCTCCGGGTCGGCATCGTTAAGCTTCTCAAGAATGGCAATCTCAGTGTAGCCGCCTTTACGGAGCGCATCGTTGTTTCGCATGATTTTGATAGCGACTGGCATCTTTGTCGTTGTATCGAGAGCACGTACTACGCCGGAAAACATGCCTCGGCCAAGTGTCGATTGGATTTGGTAGCGACCGTTGATGATCTCGCCGACTCGCATCTTGTAGTAACCATCCTTGTCGTCACCTTCGAGAATGCCTCCCTTGCCAGCGTCACCGACTACTTCGTCGCCGCCTTTACTTGGCTTCGTCGCATACTTGTCCTCGTCAAAATCCTCGGCAAACATGTCAAACTCATCGTCCTCTTCATTTGCGCCCGCGCCCGCGCCCGCACCTTTCGGCTCTTTCTCTCCGTTCGACTGATCAGCCTGCGCATGCATACCGTTTACTGCATGACCTTGGCGAAGCTCATCACGCTGTTCGTCCTCTTTCATATCGATTATTGGATCGTAGTCAGCCGCCGAAGGGCCGTCGTCTTCATCGTACTTTGGAGCAGCGTGGCTATTCATCAACGCCCGGTCGTCGGTGAGATCAAGCCTTCCCGGCGACATGGCATCATGGAGACCTGGAGATCGAGGCGACGTCATGACTAGCTCTGTTAGAATGCGGTGACTAGGAACGCATGGTTAAAACTTGCTTGACTGTGGTGTCTGTGGCGTCTCCTGGTCGAGTGTACCATCCGAAACGACTGGTGAGGCTGCGCGGACCTTTTCCGTAGCTCCAACAGCCTGAAGGAGTAATGGTGTCGCAGGAGTAGCTTTTGCAAGAAGTGCTTCGCGTCGTTTGCGGCGACGTTCAATCTCGGCCTCTTCATCGAATGTTTCTTCATTGTCATAGTCGTAATCAGGCTCAGCAGCAGGTTGCTCTCTGTCGCTGGTCAGATTTCCGCTGCTGTCAAACTCTGCGAAATGCACTGACTTTGTCTTTGATGCGGCTTCGCTATGAGTAGCGGTACCAGTCTTTGAACTGTTGTTGTGTGATTTAGCATCTCCATTGGCTGCGGAAGGCACTGACGCGCCGGTGCTACGTCTTGACCCAGAACTTGCCGTGGTAGAGTCGCGGTAGTCATCGTATTCAAGACCGTAATTGCGCCGCCCTGGGGATGCGCGGCGAGCGCCTCGAGCGTTCCGTCCACTATCGCCCTGGTCGTCATAGCGGGAACGAGGGGCTGGCGAGCGGCTTCGGTGACGACGATCGCGTTCATTGCCATTGTAACGGTCGCGACTCCAATCTCGACTTCTGTCTGAGATAGCTCTCTGATCTAGATCTCGTCCAGAGGATCGGTCCAAGTCGTCATATGATACTCTGGATCGCTTATAGTCGTCACGATTGTCGCGGTCTGAGCGGAACTGGCCAGGCGCATCGCGTCGCCGGCTGCGTGCATCGTAGTTATCGCGGCCGCGCTTGTAGCCTCTGGGAGAGCGGCTGTTCCGAGAGTCTCGATCGGGCGAGTCCCGGCTATATAGTCTGTCTCGACGGTCAACGCTGCTTCCTTCTGTGCGCGGCAGTGGAGATGCCTTCAAATCGCCCCCTTGGGCTTCGAGAATTTCGCCCTCGTCGGAACTCGACATGATAAAGCTTTGCGCTGCAGCCCTTTCGGGATCTTGAGAGTGAGGAGCAACGGCAAGTGTCAGCACTAAGCAATTCCAAAGCAGTGTTAAACAGGTTGTGGTCGAACCGGTTCAGCGCGACTCGTAGCCTCAGGTCATCGGGGGATCTGTGAGGGAACGGGTCGCTCTGGTATATATCTCTGCAATGAATTGGAGGGGATTGGGCACGAGAAGTAACTCTTTGTCGCTTCGTTGAGGACGTGAAGGTTTTGTGATGGAAAAGTCTCTAATTAGTACTGGAGCGAAATGAGAGAAGATGCCTGATGATGTTCCGAACATGGCGTTGCTGCTTTAAGAATATATGGAGACCAAAACCACGAATCCCCCACACATTTAAAGCAGCGCTACCTACAGACTTTTCGGGAAGCGCCATTGTGAGGCCGTAGCCTCTCGCGTCTGATTTTGAATGCGTGAAATTTTGACCCGTCTCGACAATAGCGCATCGCTTCGGCAGCACACCGAATTATCAAGCCCTACAAACGACGCACGATTGCACAAGACTTTCTTCCGTTAATAAAGAAGAATGGGCGGCCAATCCAGACAAGGCATGTGACTCGCTACCATCTCCGCGACAAACTCTAGTCGCTGTTTGCCTGCATTATTGCATGGCTAATGCATCGCATGGTCTAACATGAAAACGTTCTGCAGGCGGTACGAAGAAGCCTCTTACCAAGGCGCAGACGGACGAAGCAAAGAAGAGAAAGGAGGCTTTCCTGTCCGGCAAGCCGTTGGACTCTGACGAGGAGGATAACGGCAAGGCAGAGGCTGCGAAAAGTATGAGTCCGCCCTCCAAGAACCTTGTCATCACCTTGCTACCAGCAAATGCTAACCACAGACGCCCGCTTACAGACAAGAAAATTCTCGCCGAAGCGAGAGCGGCGGCGGGCAAGAAAGGCCCCATCAGTCTGGGAGGCCAAGGCATCAAGAAGAGTGGCAAGAAATAACCCAAGTGCTGCGGAGAGCGATTGAGCGAATGATTACACCCATGCAGACAATAGACCATTGAGTTTACGATTGACGATTGCTTACCTCATGTTACTCCATGCAAATGCTGCTTCGTGACAAGCGCGGCTGCATGTGTGCTCGCGGCGGCTCTAGTGGCCAAACAAGCCTCGCAAATGTCAAAAAGATGACCCCTCCCTCCCGGTTGCTCTTCGACTTGCTCCTCCATCACTCCCGTCATCTCGTATAGCGCTTCGCGACGTTCTCTGAGTCGGGATGCGCTGTCCAAGGGTTTTTTTTGGTGCAGCGCCACGCACTCCCTCAGTAGCGTCGTGGACTCTCGATACCGATCGTCATCGTTCCAGAAATTCGTGAGCCAGGCCATGTTACCCAGGTTTCAGGGGCCCTCTGGTCCAGCGATACGAGTGTAGATGTCGAAGCAAGACTCGGCGACACCGGCAACCTTGCTCATGCAATCCCATCCCACCAACTTGCACGGCTTCGGGAATGTGACCTGAGCGACTGTCGTGTTGTCTCCTCCATTCGCCACCTGCAAACCTCGACGTACTCGTCGAAAAGCTGTGCAGCCCCATCTTTTCGATTCTTCTCTTTCTATTCTTCTCGACTATGGCTTGTTTTTCCACTGTGTTGACAGATTTCGCGTTTCATCAAGTTGTTTGCAAACGCGTTTATACAGCACCTCAGCCTTCAGACATCGCAGTTTCCTTTTAGTCATTGGCACCCCTTTAGCATGCCTGGTCGTGATACCTTGCGGAAGCGAATCTCTGCTCCTTTGTCGCTGATGAGCGCAAGCGTGACCAGATCTCTGTTGGCCTTGTAACCGACTGTTTAAAGAATAGTCATCCTCAAAGTCGGTTTGCTTGCATCTGGAAAAGTGTAACCGAGCACAGAGCCCTCCCTCTAAGCCTTTCTTCCGAAGAGAGCCTACAGTGCTGCTAGAGGAATGCCTTTGCTCCGTCATCGTCGGTTGCTACGGCTCTACGATATGACGGCGAAACGCATTCAGGCTCGCATGAATGAAGCACCATGCAGTTGGTGCTTCGGGTCTCGAAAGACAGGCCTTGTGCGGCTTTGTTGGGAGGTGGGTGGCGCTGCCAAGCCGTTGACAAGCCACAGGGTGATGAGGTGGAAGCAGAGGTCACTTGAGTTATCGTGGCTGCTTAATATTGGCCGCCTAACGCAAAGGAACCTTTTGAAATACTGATGACACACGGCTGCCACTTGGCGGGGGCATGTGTGCTTCTTCAGTATGACGCGTCTCGTATGCTGGGTACCCATGCAGCTACACTGTGTGTTGGCTCTTTTAATTCGCTCAGGTGATGGCGACGAGCGGCATGAGAGCAGTAATGAGCAGAATAATCTCCTCTTGCGAGAGTGCAGCCTCGTTGAGATGGTTGCTCACCCCTGTCAGCGCTACATTGAGGGAGAGAGCTATCTACTATAAAAGCAAAGCCTGATAAATGTGATGAGAGATAATGGTGCGCCCGCATGCTTCCGATTAAACTCCTGAGGGGCATTTTACATAAGGCGGATGCGATTCCTGTACTCTTGCTCCTAAACTAAACAATGAATGTACCTATATTATTTGCCTCAGACAACAATGCCTCTTTACAAGTTCTGTGTCGTTTTCGGTGCTCTGGCTACTGCTGTCGCTCGTGCTACTGGCGAACATGCCCAGGTCGTCTTGAGCACCAACGAGTCCCCCGTCCAGCAGCAGCACCCTCTGATTCCCCTTGACCGCAAAGCTCTCGAAGAAGTGTGCGAGTGGTTTGACGACTTCATACGCACCATGCCCGTCAAGCCCAGCGCCGCGGACGTGATTCTGGTGCAAGAGCTTGAACAAGGCGCCGCCAGCCCCGAGGACGAAAACGACTCTGACCCCGCCTTGGACTCTGTCGTCGTCGACCTTGTTGGCCAAGACAAGCACAAAAAGTACTACAACAGGCTGAAAGCGCAGTATGACGCCATCATGAGATTGAAAGAGGAGGAGGAGCACGCCAAGGACGACCCTTGTGACTGACCCCCCCCCCC